GGAAAGAGGCTGGGAAGAAGAACACATTCTACTGGAGACTAGGATGACCTGTCCTCAACCTGAACTGTCCGCCACCACCCAGAAAGATTGCATCATGGGCTTTTTCTGCCATGGATAAATGGGGAGATTCTGCTTTAATTTCTAGCCTCTCTCCTTCCCCTACCCTCAAGGTAAAAGGCATTCTCTGATTTCTGGTTGCAGTTTCTGCCACTAGAGACTTGACAGGTTCCATTGGCCTAAAGCTAACTATAGGGAAGGGGCATGAATTCCCAGACTTAGCCCCTAAACATAATGGGTGGCAGTGGGTACTGCCATGTCCCCTGCTTTCCTCCACATCTCAGGGTCATTGACTCTGCCTGGCCCAGATAATAAGCCAACCCAAAGCCTGATGAGTGAGAAGCTTGAGGGAATGCCAGGGAAAGAAGGCCCACCCGGGCTCCTCCCACATGGACTCTACCCTGAAGCCAGGCTGGTCACTTCACCTAAACTGTGTGTGCGTGTGTGTGTGAGAGAGAGAGACCTCACTTTTCCTGGCACTTCCTCAGCCACATATAGTATCTCATTTAATCCTTATGTCAATGTCTCAATTATATGACTTGCCCAAGGTCTCACAGTCAGTATATGAAAGACTCAGACCTTGAACTATACCCTTTAGATTCTGTCATATTCCCCCCTCTCCCTACCAATTCCTCTCACTTCTGGAAACTTCCCTGAGTATTCCAGCTCACAGTGGTTTCCCCTATGCACCCCCTTAGGCTATGAACTAAAAAGCAGGGACTCTGCAACCCCAGAGTTTAGCGAAGGGTGGACACATAAGAAATCCTAAGGGATGTTTGTCTTGTTAATCAGTAATTAGATTTACTCCTTGGTGATAATGAATTAGATTGCTTTTCTCTTTTGTTATCTTTTGGAGAACTTCTCTGGTTTGGCCCCAAAGCACATACCCAGCTCCAGTGGAAGTAACAGTGAACCAAGCTATTTCACAGTGAAGCAGACTGTTCACAGAGAGAAGAAAGGAGCTTCTACTTCTCTTTCTGTTCTCTGGGGTCTGTGGCTTTAGCTCACCCTGGCTGAGCTCAGCTGCACTCAAGAAGTCACTTTGTTGGGGAGAAGAAAAGTCATTTTGGAGCTTGGAGCAGCCAGAGAGCACTAGGCCTGGGGTTGAAATAGTTAGAACTGCAGACCAAATATCTCCCCCTGTGGTCTTTGAACTACAAGGCATGTTTTCTCAGCAGGCAGGCCCTACCCTGGAAGCATTCATAGACTGTGCTGGACTTCACTACAGTTGTTAGCAATGTTGGGCCTGCTATGGCAGCAGACTCCCCAGGCCCAGCCAATTACAAATCTATTTCTCCGTGGACCTTATGTCTTGCAGAGTTTGGTAAGAAGAAAGGAGGTATTTATAGCTCCTAAGAGCTATTTATATAGCAAAAATTCTCCACTTGCAGTCCTGATGACACCCAGCCATACCTGTCTGGCTGTAGCCCCAAGAGCAACCTGGTCTAGAGGCCATTTCTATTTCCAGAGAATTGCTCAGGGTACACTCTTTTTATCCACAATAGGACCCACTGCTCTATGGGAGGAAGAAAGTGCTACGCACATGTTCTTTTAATGCATAGTTACTACTCGGCCAACAGCATCATACATGTATTAGTTGGTCTACAGGCATATCGCTGGGAAAATGGACCAGTGGAAGTGGTAAACCTGTTAGATGTTCACCTCTTCAGCCTAAAGGTTCCCTTTGCCCAGGACTGAAGCTCTAGAGATGATGATAATTGACACAAGTTTTCAGAAAGCAGTTTGGCAACGTGTAGCAAGAGCCATAAGAATGTTCATACTTTTTGACCCAACACCCCCGCTTCTGGGAATCTGTTCTAAGGACAGTCTCCAAATGATTGATAAAAAGACTATGTAGTAACATGAAATGTTTATGATGTAATGATAAGCCTGGAAAATCTGACTAAGAAATTGGCCAGAGATAATAGTAGTTGCATTAGAATAATAAATTTATTGGAGATTCTGTTTCTTTTTTCCAAACTTTACATGTTAGAATATTGATTTTACCCTCTTCTGTCACTCAGGGTTAATCAGTTCAGAACCTGATGAAACCAGCACACTCAGATGAGGTAGTTGATGAAAGTTTAATAAACGGACTGTTCTGTGTTTCCAGTCCCTTTCACCATGGTTTCTGCAATTATCAGTGACTCACTCAACAATTATCAAGCATCTACTCATTGTCTAGTGAGGGAGGCAGCCTTTCAAGTACATAAATTGTGTCATAAATGCAATGATGAGTATATAAGTTGAGTATCATAAGGAACACAAAGAAACAACTATCTGTCATGAAGGAGGTGTGAATCAAGGAAGGCTTCAAAAGAGGTGATTGATTCATTTCAATTTTGAAGATTGTCTGCCAAAACAAAAAGGCCACAACATGTACAAAGGCAGAAATGCAAGGAATAACATGGTACTTTTAGGAAATTACATGTGGCTTTGCAGAGCTGGAAGGAACATGGGGTGTGTGTGAAGAAACTACGAGCGATAAGGCTTTATTTAGTTAGATCATGCTGGGCGCTGCGTTCCAAGTGGGCTTTGTGTTTTGGAGTTATCAGATTTGCATGTTAGAGAGATGACTGGCTTCAGTGAAGAGAGTGGACTGAATGGAGGCAGAGAAGGATGAAAAGAAGTCTTTGGGTCTAGGCTGGGTGGGCCAGCAGATACCCTTTCTCAGCATTGGCCTCTCCTGACTTATACTTGGCCAGCGCCTTGCCTCTCCGGGATCTCTCTCCCTTCTCCTCCCCCGAGGGCCCCGCGAGCGGGCGGGGAAACGAGGCAAGGGGTGGCCCTGCCTGGGTGGTCTCCTGCCCTGCCCCCTGCAGCGCCGTTGCCTAGCAGCGGATCCGGCAGCGCGGCTCCGAGTAATTTGCGGGCTCCTCAGCCAATGGGAGGGCGTCGCCCCTGCCTGCTCCCTTTTTCTAGGGCTACAGAAGCCTCCTCCGCACTGCGGTCGCCACCTCGAGCAGCGCTGGGTGTCATGGGCCGGTAGCTCTGCGGACACACGGGACTCGCTCCGGCCGCTGCGCCCCGGACCCGCACCGCCTTGCACTCCTCGGGATCACGGCCACTGCGGCACGCCCGCAACCGATCTCACCCACGCGCGCGCCTAAGTGGCCCCACTGAATCCCGACGCGGGGTCCCGCGATACAGGGGTCCCGCGATACAGCCTATGGGGTCTCCCAGATAACGCGGGTTGGGGGTGCCTATGCCCCCCATCCCCGCCAGCATGGCTCGGTCGCCGCCCCTAGGGGAGCTGCCCCCAGACTACACACCTCCGGCTCGAGCTGCAGCACCCCAGGTGAGTAGAGAGAAAGCCGTAAAAAGGAAGACTGGGACCTAATCTAGAGACCCCAGTTTGTCACTCGAGCTTCTACAAGGTGTGATGTCTTTAATTGCTGTGTGCTACTGCCTGCCCTGGAAAGACGTGTATGTCCGTCTGTGTCTCCTCTGCACCTGACTAGTGAGAGTGAGTGTCTGTGGGCTTACCTCTGTGTCCACCTGAAAACAGGTGTGTGTATGTGTATCCTACTCTTGGAAAATGGTTCTATGCCTTCCTCAGGTGTGTGGGGGTGGAGGGGGAGGGAATGGAGTTAAGTCTTTTTTAACTCCATGTGTCTGTGTAGGTCTTCCCTGTCCTGCATCCAGACACCAAAAAACTAGGGCTTGGCAGAGGGCGTGCATAGGGAGAAAAGGGAAGGGTTTCATGAACTGTCGCAGCAATGCCTGGCTGACCCTTCTCTTTCCATCCCAGATCCTAACTGGGAGCCTGAAGGCTCCGCTCTGGCTTCGTGCGTACTTCCAGGGCCTGCTCTTCTCTCTGGGCTGCGGGATCCAGAGACACTGTGGCAAAGTGTTCTTCCTGGGACTGTTGGCCTTTGGGGCCCTGGCACTGGGTCTCCGCGTGGCCATCATTGAGACAGACCTAGAACAGCTCTGGGTGGAAGGTGAGTTGTGGACACTACCCATAGCCACTTGGGTATAGTGAACCCAAGGCAAGAACAGGGTGAAGAGCCGGCTACGGAGTTCTAGTGGGCTTGGCTCTGGGTCTGGAGGGGACACCTGTCCACCAGAGCCTGGGCATCTGGGAGCACTGCTCCCTCCCACACTCATAAATGGACATCTGTAGTTAGTTGATGGAATCCTGTGACTAGGTATATAGAATAGTTATCTCTCTCTCTCTCTCTCTCTCTCTCTCTCTCTCTCTCTCTCTCTCTCTCTCTGTGTGTGTGTGTGTGTGTGTGTTGGCATTTATTCCCAACCTTTTTACGTGTATTTTTGACTGCATGGCAGGGTTTGCAAAGGCAACTTACTTTCAGAAGCAAGGAAAGTAAAATATGTACTGGGATATAATATACTATATATAAGAGACCATATAATGCAAAGGGAAATATGATTATGTTGTATAAGAGAAGGCAGAGAGAGATCACATCTGACCAGGAAAATCAGGAAAGTTAGAACTAGAGGGCTGGAGAAACTGAGTAAATCAGCTGGCAGTCCTCTACGGAGCAGTCCCATGCATCCAGTCCTCCTGCAGCCATTTAGTGAAGCACAGAATCTATACTTCGAAGCAACAGCAGGGTCTAATGAGACCAAACCCTCACTTCCTAATAGAAACATTAGATAAAATGACTTCTTAATAATTTTGGCATAACTCTCTTCTTTCCTGGGGCCCCGTTTCACATGGCAGCCCTTTAACAGAGTGAAACCACCCTCTGTTCTTGCCTGGGAATTTGCATTTGTGGGCTCGCTCCCCCAAACCACCCCTGTGCACTGGCCTATATCCAAAGGCAGGGCCCAGGTTAGAGTCTCACACCCTTGAGTTATTTCAAATGCTGGCAAGCTCTAGGATCCAGAGCAGATGTTTCTTAGAGCCTGCCTGCCTGCCTGCCTGCCTGTTGGGCTCCCACACCCCATCCCCGTCCCCACCCCGCCCGCAGCCCTCTGCGGACTCTGACATACATATATACTCTAGGCTAGCCTTGGGGTCCAGAGCAGATGTTTTCTCTGTGCCTGCCTGCCTGCCCCCAGCCCCAGGACACACATGTGCTTATGCGCACATACACACCCCCACCCACACCCCAGCTGCCTGGGTGGTCCCAAATTACTCTTAGATTTCTTGCCACAAGAGAGGCTGTCTCCTCCCCATCCTCGTCTTCCTCCTTCATTCGCCAAATCCTCCCCATCTCAACACTGCTTGGGCCTCCAGGTTTCCTCATCCTCTCTCTGACACTCCAGCACATGACAAGCTATATCCCACCAGATTTTTTGCTGCTCTTTGTGGGAAAGTGATATAAGAGGGTAGTGGCCAATTCCCAGGACTTTTTCCTTTATTTCAGAATACCACTCTGTACTGTATTAGCTAGGACTGGGGGTGAGGTAAAAGCGGTGATTTCAACCTTACCTTTTCTCTACATCTATAGTTGAGGCTTGTCCCAGCAGTGCCTAGGCAATGAGGAGCTGATCAAGGTGAGGATTGAAGGGTATTCTCTATTCCTTTCCATTTTGCTAGTAGAGAAAGCAAAGATAGAAGAATATTGGCTATCATCAGAGTTCTGGACCAGAGTTCAGGGTCCTCTCCAGCTTTGCCATGGTGGGACTTAGAATGTGATTTGTCCTTCCTGATCAATTTTAAAGCTTAAAGGGCTCTGAGATAGCTTGTTCTCTAAAATAAAAATCACAACATATAGCCCAACTAGTACTTAAAGAAATAGTGATAGAGATGGTTTGAAATTGGAGCTGTCCCTGAAAATAAGAAACATACAACCATTCTATCTAGAAGGCAGGGGATGGCCACAGATCTGTTGGCAGAACCACTATTCACTGAAGTACTCAAGTTTGCTTTTGAAACCTTGGGAGTCAGCCTCATTTCTTCTTGCTCACCTGATCGGTTACTAAAACAGCAAATTCTTCTTTCTTAGCCTCTCCCATAACATACCACTCCTTCCCACCCTTGTAACCATTGCTCTGGTTGAAACCTTTATCAAGCTCCAGTACACTCTTGATCATCATTTAGAATGTGTTTAGCCACATGAAAGAGAGAGACAGGAAAGAAGAGAAGGAGGAAGGAAGAAGATTGATTTATTATCCCCTATAACAAGAAATCTGGCAGTAACTAGACAGTAAAGAAGTTCCATATGGTTAATTCAGCATGTGGACATCAGCAAGGACCCAGGTTCTTGCTATCTTTCTCCTCTACCTTCTTCAGCATGTTGGGCTTTTGTACTCAGGCTTATCACCTCCTTGTCCCAAGATGGCTGTTGCGGTGGCAGAAAAGAGAAGTCATCTCTCTCTTGCATCCCTTTTTGAAAATGAGGAAAAATTTACCAGAATCCCCCCAGCTGACTTCTCATTTGGTTACTTTGGCAAGAACTGTATAGCACTCTGTGCCTAAATCTTTCACCTGACAAAAGCAATGGAATTACCATTATTGACTTCTTAGACTAATCAAATCTCGCTCCCTGAGACTGGGCGGGGCGGGCCTAGGCCTTTCAAAGGATTGACCAGGAAATCAAGGTCTTCGTTGGCCTCACCTTCAAATCTGCCTCCACACTGCCCTCCTGTGGTATATCTAAATCTGTCCAAGTCACTCCCCACTCAGATCCCTTCCACCACTTTGTTAGGTTCTAGGGGGTCTCGAGAATCAAGTCCAAGCTCTTTAGCACACATTCTAGGCCCTCCGTAATGTAACTCTTAATTGCTTCTCCAGCATTGTCTCTGCCTCATTCTTAGCAGTCCAGCAATGCAGCCTTTGACAGTCTCCCGCACACATTTGGTCCAGAGTGCCTTTTCCTGACTTCTTACCCTGGCCACTTCCTAGTCTTCATTCACAATTCAGCTCCAGAATATATTGGTGGGTGATGTAAAAGTCAGGTCATCTCACTTCTCTGCTCAAAGCCTACCATGGCCCCCACTTCACTCAGAGGCAGTTTGAGTCCCTACAATAACTTATAGGCCCTTACGATTGAAATTTCTAGGCCAAAGATTATGAACATTTCTGAGAGACTTAATGTATATTGCAATATTGCTTTCCCTCAAATATCGTACCAAATTAGACTCCCATGGTAGGTTAGAGTGCACTCCTGTAAGCCAGCATTGTATACTATCAATTTTTTTAACTTTTACAAATTTAATAAATTGTCATTTATTGCTATTTTAATTTGCATTTATAGGACTGCTTATAAGGTGAGCTTTTTCTCCATGCTGGCTAACCAGTTATAATCAACCTTTTGTAGGCACAAAAGTTTTAACAAATGTTGATTTTGATGTCTCTTTCTCCTGTTCTCCTACTTCCTCTCTACTCACTTATAGTTGACTTTTTCTCTAGTCCTTTCTCATTTTTCTGTGACATCATTTCTCTCCCAGAAACTACTGAATAATAACTCCATGTCTGTGCCTACGTGCTGGGTAAGTTTCCTAAGTACTTTGCCTGCATTGATTCTAATTCTACCAAGATAACCATCGACCCCATTTTACAGATGAGGAAATTGAGAGTCTGAGAGACTAAGTAATTTGCCTCAAGTACAGACTAAGTTTCAGAGACAAGGCTCAAAGCCACTCTCGCACGATACATCCCAGTTCATCTGTCCTCATATCTGTCATCATCATTGTCAACCAAGCTTTACATTTTTCTCTTCCTCATTTCTTCTGAGGATTCTTTATTTTCTTTGATGTTGTATTTTAAGTTGTCAGTGTTTTTTTCTCTTGCTTTCTTATGAGCTCTATCTGGATTCCTTCCTTCTCTCATGCCTCCTTTTCCTCAGCAGACTCACTATAGGGAGCTTATCTCTGTCCTCCTTGCCTGTCCCTGCTTGTGACAGCTCTAGTCTAAGCCTGGTGAAATGAGCACTGTAGTACAGGCCTGGGAAAGGAGTGGGGGGTCAGGGAAGGAAGAAAAAGAGTAGGTGGAAGGGAGCAGGATGGCTGTGTGAAACTAGATTCATGAAGGGGCTAGGAATGAGATTCGAGTGGGAGGACGTGAGCATATGGGTAAATCTGTGTTGGGGGGTTCCCAAGGGTTTGGGGCTCTCATGAATGAGGAGATCGTGCAGGTTTGAAAAAGAGATTGGGGAGGGCGAGGCTCCCAGATAGGGCTGGAGTCTCGGAGAAGCAGCACATGTGGGCCCCAGGGGTGTTGTTGACCAACAGGAAGGGGCCCCAAAAACTTGGAAACAGAAGTGGCTCTAAGACCCGACCAAGTCCACAAAGCCAGGGGTGGTTTGGCACTGGCCCTCACCCTCCTCCAAACCGGTCAGGTCATATCCCTTCACAGTGTCCCCACCTCCCCCACACCCCAGGGACAGAGCATGACTCCGAGGCCAGCATAATTCAGAACTTAAGGGATGCTAAGATCAAGGAGACTAAGGTAGGCCTGGCGCTAGGACTCCCTGTTTCCTGGACAGTGAGACTGGCGAAAGGGATCTGGAACCTATCTTCCCCTTGGCTCAGTTTGCTGTCACCTCTTCCAGGGTACATGCGCTGATTCCAGGTATTTCTTGCATGAGTGGAAGCAGTATGTGGACAGCATCACACTGAAGGACTCTCGCCCTCATCTGTGCCACCGCAGGGCCCATTATTACCAGGCACTCCCATCCCTACCCTCTTGGGTGTATGGATTTAAATCATTGCCCAGGGCAACTTGAACTAGGAACCAGCCCCAGCCCTTAGGAGACTTTCCTAATAGCAGCCTCCTTATTGTTCCCTTTGTCCTTCTTGTCTTTCCTCACCAAAGCAGAGAGTAACTGAGTGAGGGCTCCTTTACCAGGATGCCCCCGAAACCCCAGCCCTGGCCCAGCTCATACTGATTTCTCGTTTTTAAGTTACTTGCCCCAAACCTAGCCAACCTGGTTTATGCTGAAATCTTAGACCACACAAGAATTCCATAGAGCCACACAACTGAGGCCTCTTGCTTCCCTGACAGAACTCCAGATTCCAAGCAGGAGCAGGAGCCTGGGGAGTCAGCGTGGTTGTCTATGAGAAGGCAGGGGCTCCTCTCAGCAGCACTTTTCCCATTTGTTCTGGGAGGCCTCAGTGGGTTAGAGTCCCACATCCCCCAGAGCTCTGATCCACCGAGGCTCTTTCCCCTAGCTTTCTCTCTCTGCTCTGGCAGTGGGCAGCCAGGTGAGCCAGGAGCTGCATTACACCAAGGAGAAGCTGGGAGAGGAAGCTGCATACACCTCCCAGATGTTGATACAGACCCCACGCCAGGAGGGGGAGAACATCCTCACACCTGAAGCACTTGACCTCCACCTCCAGGCAGCCCTCACCGCCAGTAAAGTGCAAGTATCACTCTATGGAAAGTGAGTCTGGCTGAGCCCCCGAGCAGCTGGGGGGAGGCGTGCTATGGCAGAGCTGGAGCAGGAATCCCCCCTCTTCTGCTGATCTCCTGTGTTCCTGGCTACTGCAGGTCCTGGGATTTGAACAAAATCTGCTACAAATCAGGAGTTCCCCTAATTGAAAATGGAATGATCGAGCGGGTGAGTATCTTGAGTTGTTCTCTGAGACTGGGTGGAGGTGGAACCTTTCTGCCTTCGGGGAGGGTTCAGAGAAACTCGGAGGCTAAAAGTCGGGAGGTGGGGTTGCAGAGGGCGTCCTGCAAAGGTTGCGGAGAAAGGAGCCCAGGGACAGGACTGATGTGGCCTGGGGTGTCCCTGGCAGATGATTGAGAAGCTGTTCCCATGTGTGATCCTCACCCCCCTCGACTGCTTCTGGGAGGGAGCCAAACTCCAAGGGGGCTCTGCCTACTTGCCGTGAGTGCCACCACAGCTGCTCCCAGGGCCCTGCCTCGTCTCCTGCCAGGACTTCCCCAACAGAAAAGAGGGGTGGGAGTAAAGATGATGATCACAGCCTTACCAAGGGCCTAATGACCTCCCAGGACAGGGTCAGAGCGTGGGCTACCCCAGGGCCCTCTCTATGTCCCCCATCTCCTCACCTCCAAAGGAAAGGCAGACCTGTCTTGTTCAGACAGAACAAAACAAAGATCTGTAAGACCTGAGTGAAGGGGGAAAAAATATCCCAGAAAAGATGTTTTGCCAGGGAGAGATAGCTAGGCATCAGCTAAGCTATTGCCCATTTCAGAAAGAAAACCTGTTACAGGCAGGTGCCTGTATGGTTTATTTATTAGAAACAAGGGTAAATGGCTTGGGAAGAACTCAGTGGGGCTTATCTGAGCCTTTTGCATGTATTAAGTACCTTCTGTCCTGATGTCCGTCTCAGCCCCTTGCAACTGCCCACAGCTCACTGCAGCAACCTGGTGGGTTGGTGCAGCCTGAGAGTTCTGGGAAGTGGAACCTTGCATACCATCCATATGGAGGAATAAATGAGAGGCTAGGAGGAGGGTGGGGTACAGCATGGGTCCCCTAGCAGCAGTTTGGAGGGTGAGAATTGATCCCTGATCCTCACCAGCCTTGGGCTCTCCCATCAGCGGCCGTCCTGACATCCAATGGACCAACCTGGATCCGGAGCAGCTGCTGGAGGAGCTAGGCCCATTTACCTCCCTCGAGGGCTTCCGGGAGCTGCTAGACAAGGCACAGGTGGGCCAGGCCTACGTGGGGCGGCCCTGTCTGAACCCTGACGACCTTCACTGCCCTCCTAGTGCCCCTAACCATCACAGCAGACAGGTGGGTTCCAACCAGGTCTGCCAGGGAAAGGCTATTTTCCTTCCCTTTCCCCTCCTTGTATGCTTCTCTGTTCTGGGAGAGAGCAGATTGTGCTCTGTGCCCAGCTCCCTATTTCCTGGACATTGTGACCCCACTGTGCTAGATGCCTAGTGTTCCATTCTTATTGAGTCCTCCTAAGGAGCCCTCAAGTGGCATACGAATCCCTTTTTCCTTTTCTAAGCCCAGAAAGACTGGATTCTATCAAAATAGACTTGTACAGGGAAACTGAGGACAAATTAGCTAAGCATGAGTATCTTACCTAGTTTCCTGAGTGTCTGTGTGACTCTGTAAATGTGGACCTTTTTCTGAAACCCAGTTATATCAGCTCCTCCCAGCAGCCTGTTTCTAGGCCTTTGTTTCCTCTTGTGGCCTCCTCTCTGCAGGATCCTAGCTGCTCACTTACAGGCTAGGCAAGAGGCTCAGGAGATAGTTTTCTACACTTCAGGCCTACAGAGCTTCATGGTTCCTGGAGGTACCAGCCCAGGGACAGCAGTTATCCACAGCTAGGGCCCTGAATACTAAACCCCTCCTGTCTCCCTTCAGGCTCCCGATGTGGCTCAGGAGTTGAGCGGGGGCTGCCACGGCTTCTCGCACAAGTTCATGCACTGGCAGGAGGAATTGCTGCTGGGAGGCATGGCCAGAGACCCCCAAGGACAGCTGCTGAGGTAGGGCCTCCCCTGGAAGTTGGCATGGGTAGCCCAGGAATGGGAATCCACACTTCGATTCCAGGCAGCTCTGGCAAAAGCCCCCTGCACACCCCGCACTGGAGCGGGGGCTGCCACGGCTTCTCGCACAAGTTCATGCACTGGCAGGAGGAATTGCTGCTGGGAGGCATGGCCAGAGACCCCCAAGGACAGCTGCTGAGGTAGGGCCTCCCCTGGAAGTTGGCATGGGTACCCCAGGAATGGGAATCCACACTTCGATTCCAGGCAACTCTGGCAAAAGACCCCTGCACACCCCGCACTGGGTGTTCAGCCAGCTCTGACCCCTAATTCTCCTGCACTCCTCCCCAGGGCAGAGGCCCTGCAGAGCACCTCCCTGCTGATGAGCCCCCGCCAGCTGTATGAGCACTTCCGGGGTGACTACCAGACGCATGACATCGGCTGGAGTGAGGAGCAGGCTGGCACAGTGCTGCAGGCCTGGCAGCGGCGTTTTGTGCAGGTTAGTGTGGGAAAGGGCAGGGCGGTGCCCTGAGGCCACTCCCTCGTCCTGCTCCTCAGATCTACCCTGTCTCCCCAGCTGGCCCAGGAGGCCCTGCCTGAGAATGCATCCCAGCAGATCCACGCTTTCTCCTCCACCACTCTGGATGACATCCTGCACGCTTTCTCTGAAGTCAGTGCTGCCCGTGTGGTGGGAGGCTATCTGCTCATGGTGGGTCCCACTCCTGACACCTTGCCCCACCTCTAGCTGGTGTCCAGCCTGGGAACCCCTGTTCGAGACAGTCCCCTCTCTCCCCACAGCTGACCTACGCCTGTGTGACAATGCTGCGGTGGGACTGTGCCCAGTCCCAGGGTACTGTGGGCCTTGCCGGGGTGCTGCTGGTGGCCCTGGCAGTGGCCTCAGGCCTTGGGCTCTGTGCCCTGCTCGGCATCGCCTTCAATGCTGCCACTACCCAGGTATACGAGGACTGCAGGGCAGACTTGGGTGGCCACAGTTCAGTCTACTCAGTCCCTCCAGCTGCTTGCCCCTGTGCCCCTCCAGGTGCTGCCCTTCTTGACACTGGGCATCGGCGTGGATGACATATTCCTGCTGGCACATGCCTTCACAGAGGCTCCACCTGGCACCCCTCTCCAGGTGCGGCCTCACCCAAGAGCCTGGGCTCATCTGAGCTCAGCATAAGGGTTAAGAACCTCCTGGTTGGGTGTCCTTGGGCTGCTAATTAACCTCTCTGTGCCTCAGTTTCTTCGCCTGCAATGGGGTGGTAATAGTGCTTGTGTCGTAAGGGTTGATGTGAAGATCGGTGAGGTAATTCAGGTCAAGTGATTAGCACAGTATGCATGACATGTATGTGGCACTCAGTAAATGTTAGCTGCTGTGTGGTCACTGTTCCTTCTCTGCTGAGCCTCCTATTCACTCTACCTTGAAGACCCATGATCCCCTCCCCTGTCCTGGCAGGAGCGCATGGGCGAGTGTCTGCAGCGCACAGGTACCAGTGTCACACTCACATCCATCAACAACATGGTCGCCTTCTTCATGGCCGCTCTAGTTCCCATCCCTGCACTGCGGGCCTTCTCCTTGCAGGTGAGGCCTCACAAACAGGACCCAAACTTAGGGTGGGTGTGGAGCTAGGGGCCTGCTTCATCCAGCCTTGTGCCCCTCCTGTCCATCCCCCAGGCGGCCATAGTGGTTGGCTGTAACTTTGCAGCTGTGATGCTTGTCTTCCCAGCGATCCTCAGCCTGGACCTGTACCGGCGCCACTGCCAGCGCCTTGATGTGCTCTGCTGCTTCTCTAGGTACTGTCCCTGCACTCCCACCCCCACCCCACCAGGCTTTCTCCACAGGCCACATCCTATCCTGTGCCCTCACCAGCATTTCCAGGCACAGACCTGTCACCCTCCTCTCCTTTCTCTGCCTCTTTCAGCCCCTGTTCTGCTAGAGTGATTCAGATTCTGCCCCAGGAGCTGGCGGATAGCACAGTACCAGTGAGCATTGCCCACCTGACTGCCACGGTTCAAGCCTTTGCCCACTGCGAAGCCAGCAGCCAACATGTGGTCACCATCCTGCCTCCCCAAGCCTGTCTGGTGCCCCCACCTTCTGACGCATTGGGCTCTGAGCTCTTCAGCCCAGGAGGGTCCACACGAGACCTTCTGAGCCAGGAGGAGGGGACAAGGCAGAAGGCAGCCTGCAAGTCCCTGCCCTGTGCCCGCTGGAATCTTGCCCATTTTGTCCGCCATCAGTTTGCGCCCTTGCTGCTCCAGTCACAGGCCAAGGTAAGACTTCAGGCCCAGAGATGTTGGGGTGGGGCAGGACAGAGGCTTAGGTGTCTCTGGGCTCCGAGAAGGGCAGGAGGCCTAGCTTACCACCTACTGGCTGTGGGATGTCTCTGAGTCTCCATCTGAGTTGCCATTTCCCACAGGCTGTGGTGCTGGTGCTCTTTGGGGCTCTTCTGGGCCTGAGCCTCTATGGAGCGACCTTGGTGCAAGACGGGCTGGCCATGACAGATGTGGTGCCTCGGGGCACCAAGGAGCATGGTTTCCTGAGCGCCCAGCTCAGGTACTTCTCCCTCTACGAGGTGGCCTTGGTGACACAGGGTGGCTTTGACTACGCCCACTCCCAACGAGCCCTCTTTGATCTGCACCAGCGCTTCAGTTCCCTCAAGGCTGTGCTGCCCCCACCTGCTACCCAGACACCCCGCACCTGGCTACACTATTACCGGAACTGGCTACAGGGTGAGAGGCAAGGGGACCAGCAGGGAGGTCTGCTGCAGGCAAAAGCCCCTGGTGCCACAAGCTAACTGCACCCTACCCTGTTCTTCCCCAGGAATCCAGGCTGCATTTGACCAGGACTGGGCTTCCGGGCACATTACCCACCACTCATATCGCAATGGCTCTGAGGACGGTGCCCTGGCCTACAAGCTGCTCATCCAGACCGGCGATGCCCAGGAGCCTCTGGATTTCAGCCAGGTTAGGAGAAGGCTGGAAGGGTCAGGGAGCACAGAGGGGCCCCAGGCCTCATGGGCCTAGGCCTTTAGCCCTCTCCGCCTCTGCAGCTGACCACGAGGAAGCTGGTGGACAAGGAGGGGCTGATCCCACCCGAGCTCTTCTATGTGGGGCTGACTGTGTGGGTGAGCAGTGACCCCCTGGGTCTGGCAGCCTCGCAGGCCAACTTCTACCCTCCGCCTCCCGAGTGGCTGCACGACAAGTATGACACCACCGGGGAGAACCTCCGCAGTGAGTCCCAGGGGAGCCAGCAAGAGCCTCAGCCTGGGCCCACACAGACCCTACCCTAAGGCCCTGCCCACTGCTCCTTATGCTCACTGGCCACCCCTCCCTCTCCCTGCCACCCCCTCCCCTCCGCAGTCCCGGCGGCCCAGCCCCTGGAGTTTGCCCAGTTCCCCTTCCTACTGCACGGCCTCCAGAAGACTGCAGACTTCGTGGAGGCCATCGAGGGGGCCCGGGCAGCGTGCGCTGAGGCAGGCCGGGCTGGAGTGCGTGCCTACCCCAGTGGCTCCCCCTTCCTCTTCTGGGAGCAGTATCTGGGCCTACGGCGCTGCTTCCTGCTGGCTGTCTGCATCCTGCTGGTATGCACTTTCCTCGTCTGTGCCCTGCTGCTGCTCAACCCCTGGACGGCTGGCCTAATTGTGAGTCTTTGCAGGGGTGGGACCTAAGAGACCCTGGCTCCCTCACCCTGCCCTGCCCATCCCATCATCCTCCTCCCAGGAGCCCTGGGTTAGCCCCACTCTCCCCAGGTACTGGTCCTGGCAATGATGACTGTGGAGCTCTTTGGCATCATGGGTTTCCTGGGCATCAAGCTGAGTGCCATCCCCGTGGTGATCCTTGTGGCCTCTGTGGGCATTGGTGTCGAGTTCACGGTCCATGTGGCTCTGGTGAGTACAGGCACTGAGAGAGGGAGCAGGCCAGCTGATTCAGTATGCAGCAGATATTTATCAGGCACCTACCATGTGCATGCTGGGTACTATTTAAGAACTGGGGATGTAATAGCAATACAGACAGGCTTTACCCTAAAAGGGCACAGAAATAAACAATAAATAAGTCAACAAATAAATAAGCAGCCATTTCGGTAGAGAAGAGGGAACAAAGTCCTGACCAGAACAGGGTAAGGACAGAATGGTGGAAGGAGAGAAAATGGGAACCAATGCTTCTTAATGTGAAGAGGATCAGAGAAACCATCCCGATGACAGCTGGATGGCAATGTGAGTTAAAGAGGGCTTCTACTAGGACAGAGGTACTAGAACTGAGGTAAGCAGGCCAGCCTTGAGAAGCGCGTCTTCCCCTGACAGAGGAGAGGGGGAACACAGACCAGCTGGACACTTCAGCACAAATCTGGCCAGACCCCACAAACAGCTCCCTTCTTTTTCCCCCCATAATAGCCCTATTATTATTTTAAGAACACTATATATACTCCTTAGGGGAAGAAAAAAGTTAGCATACGGAAAAGTACAAAAAAAAAAAAAAAAAAGGAAAAGAAATCTTTGGAAATGCCACTTTAGTGTCCACCCTCCTAGACCTGGAATGGCAAACTTTTTCTATAAAGGGCCAGAGAGTAAATATTTTAGTCTTAGGTCATATAGTCTCTGCTGCAATTCTGCCACTGCAGCACTAAAACAGCCACAGACAATACAGAAATAAATGGGTGTTGCTGTGTTTCAACAAAACTTTATTTACAAACAGGCTATAGTTTGCCAACCTGCGTCTCACCAGACACATCTATACAATGTTACCTAAATGGACTCATGCAGGTCCCAGGAACTCAGCTCACCTGGCCTTCTGTGGGCCAAGGCATGGGTGAGCTCTGGGGTCAGATGAGCAGAAGTTGGGGTCATAGATGAGCTGAGCTGGCCATAGTTGGCCAAGGAATAGCTCCAAAGCCACTTTGTTCCCCCAGGCCTTCCTGACCAGCCAGGGTAGCCGGAACCTGCGTGCCGCCCAGGCCCTAGAGCACACATTTGCCCCAGTGAAGGATGGGGGCATCTCCACATTGCTGGGTCTGCTCATGCTTGTTGGTTCCAACTTTGACTTCATCATAAGGTAGGGGAGGGCTCAGGGCAGGGAGGCGGGGCCTGCCTGTGCAGACCTCGGGGCCTGCCCAAGCTGACCGCCCACCCCGACCCAGGTACTTCTTTGTGGTGCTGACAGTGCTCACACTCCTCGGCCTCCTCCATGGGCTGGTGCTGCTGCCTGTGCTGCTGTCCATCCTGGGTCCCCCACCAGAGGTGATCATACCCTCCCTCTGCTCCTAGCCCAGGGGACTGGGTGGAACAAGCAAGGGAAGGGACAGAGCCAGGACAGTATCCCAGCAGTGGCCAACAGACAAGGCTCAACTTACAAGGATCTTACCCATGAGGTGCCACAAACTAAAGATGTCAGCCTCCCCTTTTGTCCAGATACCATGTCCCTACCCCTGAGCTCTCTCGACTTCTTAAGAGGACCCAACCTAGCCTTTAGGGTCCAGGGCAAGGTGCAGGGTTTGCTCCCGGCCTTGATATCCTGTCCCTTATCAGGTCTCTCATATCCTGCTGGAGGCCAACAAGGGCCTCAGCTTCCTAACAATCATGATGATTCACCAAGGAGATGTTGAAGGGGATTGAGGGCCCCAGTAGCCCCTGAGCTCACTGATGCTGGTGTCTCCCCCCAGGTGATACAGATGTACAAGGAGAGTGCCGAGGTCTTGAGTCCCCCAGCTCCACGGGCAGGAGAGCTCAGGTGGGGGGTGTCCTCCACCCTGCCCCAGAGCTTTGCCAGAGTGACTACCTCCATGACTGTGGCCCTCCACCCGCCCCCACTGCCTGGTGCTTACATCCACCCAGCCTCTGATGAGCCCACTTGGTCCCCTGATGCCACACCAACTGCTAACGGCTCCAGCAACCTCACTTCTAGGGGACCATGTCTAGCCACTGAGTGAAAGAGCAGTTGAAGCATGGAGACCCTGCTTGGGCCACATGAAGTCACTGAGAAGCAATGGGTGGGTTACTGGATACGGGACAGGCCCCTGAAGAGCTCTGCTGCTGCTGCTGTCTGCCTGCATCCCCTCCCCTCACTTGGCCCTCATGGACCTCCCTAACACCTATACAAAACTACCACCCTCCAGGCTGTGAGCACCCTTGCATACCTGGATCCTCTGTGCCTGTGCCTGTCTGGGTGGGAGTAAAAGCCAGCACTTCAGACTGCAGTGCAGCCCTGTTCTCACCTCCCCACCCCACACTGCTGCCCCCAGCAGACCAAGCCTAAGGGATCCCCTAGTACCCCTTGCCAGTCCTGGCCCCCCATTGTTTGGTGACTCTATTCCCTGTCCATCTCCTATCACATAAATTATTTATATAAAGATGTTTATTTTTGTAGTTTGTATAGATGTTAGCTATACTGAAAGTTTTATTTTTAAAGAGTGAAATATATTCTATATGAACTCATCTCAGATGACTTTGGTGTTTTTCTTTCGGACAGAGCTGGGAGTTTGCCTATAGATGTATGAGGGCCCAAGGTCCTGGGGCTACTCGTCCTGAGTGAGAAAGGCCCCAGGTTCTGAATTTTTGTCACACAACTTTGGTCTATTTATTCACCTGGAAGTGAAGATGACGTTCAGCAAATATATGTTGGTCACATACTTGGTGACAGTCTGGGTTAAGTGCTTAGTATACAAATGTTTTTGGTTTCAAACCCTACTGTGTGGCTTTCAGAGACATCATAATCCAGCCCTGTGCACCTCACCAAACTCATCACCCATCTTCCTGATTCAGCAGCATGGGGGGCATGGATGGAGGGGCACAGCCGTGCAACAGGTGGGAAGTAAAGTGGAAACAGATTGGGAAAGTGGCCAATTGAAGAAGAGATGGGACAGTAGGGTCTTGGAGATATTTTAGGATTTTGTGCCCAGACCAACCTCCAAGGCAGAGGCCTCTGCAAGTCAGCAGTCAGCCTGGCGCTCCAGAGGCACCTTTGGGGAAACTGTCCAGAAACTGAGATTATGCTAGCAATCAGTGAGGCACTGTATTTAAGGTGTTCTGTGAAGGTTGAACAGTCCCACCGCACAGAGGCCTTGAAGACTCTGGCCACACCCCCAGGGCTAGAGTACAGCACCTCACTGAATAGGGTAGAGGTGTCTTTTATTGCCCTTCCCCAACTATCCCAGGGCTCGGCCTCAACCAACACACATACACACCCTGGTTCCAGGCACCCACTCACCAAGAATGATCCCACCCTGAGAGCACTACCTTCTCACACCTCACCCACCATGCCAAAGGCCAAATAATCATGTTGTGACCAAAAGTGAAAAAAATAAATAAGCCTAATGCAGCTGAATCAACACTAAAATGGGTAGTTGGCTTGGAACCCAGAGTAGGGGGTGCATCCAACACGTCCAAGGGATGGAGGCTGGATTTGGGTCCAGTAGTGTTTGGGTCACTAGGAGGAGCTTTTGGGTGGAGGAAGAGAACTCATCAGGCTGGAATAGTGCAAAAGCTGTCAACCCACTGTGCCACTTACCAGCTGAGTGACCTGGGAAAGTTAACTAACCTCACTTAGCCTCAGTGTCTTCCTCTGTGAAATGGGAAAATTAGAGCCTATCTTGTAGGGTGCTTTTTCTTTCAGCATTTTAAATAAAATCATTTATGTAAGAAATGACCTGGCACCTCATAAGTGCGCTCTATTTTTGTACTTTGTATAGATGTTAGCTTTGCTCAAAGTTTTTGCTCTGATTGCACGCTTAGGGGTAAACCCTGAAACACAGAAGAGTGTCCTGGTATGGCAGCAGCTGAAGGGATTCCACCCAGTTGTAGTTGTCCCAGCACTTGCAGGGTAGTGCACCCTGTGTGGCACCTCACACTACTCAGCCCTCTGACTTCAACAGCCTTTCATGGCTCCCTATCACTGACAAGATAAAATCCAAGCCCTTTCCAGGCCTAACTCCAGCTAGCCTCAGCCATCACTCCAGCTCTCCCAGACAGTACCCAACCAGACACACCCTCACGCAGACACACCACACTCTACACAAGCTGAATTACTTTAAGCGTTCACCTCTCATAATTTTGCATATGCCATTCCCTCTGCCTAAAATACTGTTCCACCTTCCCTTGACAAAATCATCCTTCAAGATAAATTGGATGCCATCTCCTCTAGGAGGGATGGTGATGTGCTTTCTACGTGGTCCCACGATCCGTGAGTATCTGTGCTTGCCTGTCTCTGCTTCTGTCCCTAGAAGAGGGGAGACCCTGCCGGTATGGAATGGCAGGACTGAACCACAACAATTGGAAACTAAAACCTAATCCCAGCCCCGGAAGGAACTCCACACCCGGCTCCGGCGGGAAACGCCCTTACCTCTCCCCGCAGACTAGAAGAGGGATTCCAGGAACACCCACAGAGAGGAAGAGTTGCGGCCCACAGAGAAGAAGAGTTGCGGCAGCCGGCGCAGGTAGCTGGTGTCATCAACCAGACCGGAGCTGCCTGCGATTTGCATACCCATGGTGCACCACGAAAAACACCACGAAAAACACCACGACGCTTGAGTTCCAGCCCCACGGGGATTTGCCCACTGTTGCAGAGCACAGAGCTTGTTAGAATGAGTGATTTAAACACTTACACCAGGCCGGGAAAGCGAACCACGCAGGCACTGAACAACCATAACTGTGCTGACGGTTACCTTGCTCTGGGAGGTTCCGAGCGGAAATTGGAAAACATACTCTGGTTTTTCTTCAAATCGTATAAATCTTTCGCCTTTTACTAAAGATTTCCGTGGAGAAAAACAATTATGAGTCTTTAACCAATTTTTTGAAGCCTCATTTTTATGAGGCTACTGTTTTGTGGTTAAAAGGTAGAAGTTAATCTTCAAGAGTGGTTTGTGTTCTGGTTGCTATGAAGTTTAAGAAGTGTGCCTTGTTCAAGGTTTTTTTAGTTGGAAAAGTACAGGAAGTAGTTCTCTTCTCAGAAGTAATGCCTGTGGGCAATTTAGTATATAGTACAACTTTTTATCGTACTGGTTGTGTGCCGGTTTTCCATACTTGAAAATATAAGCTTCCTTGCTTTAAGGTCAGTGGAGACAAACACTAAAAACTTGCATAAATAGCACAACCCAGGATAAATAATATACGATCTCAGAAGTGCCACGTAGAAAAAGATCATTACGAAAGAACAGACAGGATACTTGCCGAATGTTCCTGGGTCTTAGACCAAGGTCCTCCTGCCCATTTACATCCTTTCCGTAGGTAATCTAGTTCTATGGCTTTAAGTAAATGTCTATGGGAGGTCTCATAGCACATAATCTCCAAATTTATAGCCATCAACAGGTCCCATTGACTCCCACATTCAAAGCATTATGCAACTACATTTTACCTCCTCTACAGCAACCATCCTGGTCCAAGAGCTCTTGATCCATTCATGCAATAGCCTCCTCCCTCTTCTCCTTAGACTGCCCTTCCCCCATTTCTATCTCACCCTCCCCTTTTGTCACAATCCTCCACACAACAGCCAAATTATTATTTTTTTAATGTAAATCCACACACACACACACACACACACACACACACACACCACTCTCCTGCACAGAGCCCTCTTAATAATGCCTTTCCCCAGGACACGTGGCTCATGACCTTTCTTCAGGTCTATAGTTCAATGTTCTCTCATCAGAAGTCTACACTCACTACCTTATATGAAACAGCCCCACTCCCATCACATCCTTTTAACCAGCTTTATTTTTCTTCAGACCACGAACTACTCCCTGATAATAGCATACATTAATTTCTTTACTTTTCTGTATCTTTCTCCTCTTAGAAAGTAAGTTCCATAAGGCAGGGACTTTACCTGAGTTGTTTTCTGATGATTCCATGACCCTAAATCAATGTCTGGCACATGAGCACTCAATGAATATTTGTGGAACAAATATTAAATGAATTAATAGGTTTACTTTCTAAGCACATAATACAGTACTTAATCTGTCCTACTACAGTTCTAAGCACCTTACAAAATCTTCTTAAGAATGCTATTACATAGATTCTATTATATTCATTTATAAATAAGGAAAGTGAGGCATAGATAGATTAAATAGCCTCACTCAAGTCACAAAGCCAGAAAGTGGTGGAGCTGGGATTCAAATCCACGCAGCCTGACTCCAGAAGAGGCATAATCTTAATCACTGTGCTACTGATGAGGTTCAGGACACACTACCCCAAAATATGGCATCTTGGCATAGTGAATATTTTAAGCTGAAGGAATCTGAGAAAACAATAAAGTCACTTTGACCTCCCCACTCCTCCCTACCCCCAACCCCTTCCCTACTCCCTTGAAACAAGTGAGAGGAACCCTTCCTATACCAGAATAAACCATCCTTATCTCTAAAGACAAAGAGATTCCAGAAGAATCTTAACCAACAGGCCTTGCTAAATTCCCCCCAATTTACTACACTTACTTCATACTCTTGAACCTATCATATTCCTCCAAGACTACTTTATTCTCCATCAAACCTAGGATAAAAATACTCAGTTTTAACCATTTCTTCCAATCTTCATTTCCTTAGGAAGGCTCCCATGTCATGTTAAACTTACATTGAATAAATGTGTATGCTTTTATCCTGTTAATGTCTTTGTCAGTTTAATTTTAAGACCCAGCTGGGATTTTAAAAGGGGCAAAGAAAATTTTTTCCTCCCCAGCACTTCTTTTTCTTTTAGCAAAAGAAACTGTGGGAGAAAAAAAAGACACTGTAATAAAACTAACTGAAAGTAACCTCAAAGAGTGATCTGATCTTAAATTCCTGACTGGGCAAGTCATGGTGGGTAGTCAACCCAGGCCTATAACTTTCTTAGTAAAAGGCTTATCTTTGCCTTAAGCAAGCCCTGTCCATTGTTTCTGCACATCTAGGTTAACACACCTTCGAAATGCCTCTTTTTCAGAACACTCAGAAACTTAACCACTCTCAAGATAGCACATATCTTGTTAACTATCCTGTTTTCCCCACCTTGCTTTCTCCCACCTTCCTGCAGTCTTCCTCATGTTCCCGTCTTAATTCCAAACGTATAAAAGAAACTACACAACGGTCATTCTCCAGAGCATTTGAGATCTTGTTTCCCAGCATCGTCGTCAGTTGGCTTAACTAAAGTCTTATAAAAATTCTCTACAGGTTTGGACATTGCTTACATTGACGGAATCTTGCTCTACTTGGTCTGCACTGTGCTTTTTTCAATAAAGATCATGGATATCTTTTTATATCACTGTAAAAATATATCATCATAGTTAACCAATTCTCTAGGTTAAACCAACCTCTAGGACATTAGTTTACTTTCAATTTTCATTATCCAAATGATGCTGTCATGAAGTGGTATTGAAGGTAACCACATTTTCAGTCTTGAGAGATAATACTAAATAACTATCGTTAATCATGTGTGACATATTTTTGTATAAAATTCCTTAAACAGAAGTCTAACTTTATTTTCTTCCAAATAGTCAATTGTCCCTCATTTTAGATTGGTAGTATTTTGTTTTACAGCTCTTTTAAACTATTTATGGAATAACATAGCATTTAAGGAATAAAGTCATCAACAAACATTTACAGAGCATTGATTATGTGACAGGGACTAGAGAAGCAGAAATAAGGTCCCCGGCATCTATCTCCAGGGAGATTCAGATCCTCAGGAAGACTGAATGTGTAATGAATGAAAGAAGTAGAATGGGAGAGTCTTCAATAACTAAGAGAGTAAATCCAGAGCTATAGGACTAGTGCCAGAAGGACCCATGAATCCATGCAAAGACAGTTGTTGAGAAAAGAGCTGCTAACATTTGGAGCCACTACTAATGCTCTGAAGATGAAATAGATTATATTCTGACTTGAGTGCAATGGGGATGTTGAAGGGCTTAATAAGGGGAGTAGGGTAAACGATTTTAGATAAATCTAGTTGCAGTGTGTGAAATGGATTGAGGGAGAGGGGTGCATTAGAGTGAAGTCAGAAAGGCTCATTAGAGTCTGTTGCAGTAATTCCTGTCACAGATAGGATTGGCTGAACTGGAGCTGAGAAAGCTGAACCAACTGTAAAGATTTTGTAAGAGAGAAAAATAATTTTTCCTCTCCTTTGAGCTCTTGGCTGAGACCTCTGTAATTTAAAAGGAAAATAAAAGATTAACGAGAGAAAAACAAACAGAAGTTTATTAACATGTATATCTCATGTATACATGGGAGATACCCAGGGAAAAAATGAGTACCTCTTTGAGTTGACCTGAAATACCAGCTTAAATACCATCTTCAGCTAAAGACAAAAAAAAAAAAAAAAGTGAGGGAAAAACCAGTTACCAGAATGCCACCAAGAAAAGCACGGTACACAAGGGTGAGGTTCGTTTGGCGGAGTTCAGTTGGGTGCCTTTTCCACTAAGATTCTCTTGAGTTAGTCATCCTTTTCTTGGAATAGAGAGGGAGGCATCCTTACAAATGGAGATTTCCTTCCAGGGTGAGATCCAGGTTTCTGGCTTGGGCATCCACGGAGATGAGAAACGCAATGAGGTCAGAACCGGGTAAAGATGAGGAAGCTCAATTTTGGACTAAGACCGAGGTGTCTGTGGGGCATGCGGAAAGCACTCTCCAGGAAAAAGGTCTGGAATTAAAGAGGGGGCTGAGCTGAAAAGTTATGACGTGCTTAGAATAGTAAACGGCGGCGACAGCGTCTAGGAACTGGTGTAGACCTAGGGAGGGTATGGTGCGAGGGAAATCGCATTTTTTTTTTCCTTGCCCCCGCCCGGCTCACAATCGTATTTGGTTTTTCCTGGGAACTGGGCCCAGCCCAAAGTCACGCTCTTTCCTTCCCTCTTCCCCTCTTCCCCTCCTCCCCTCCTCCCCTCCTCCTCGGCCCCACCCACAGGGCGTTGCGCTAAGCAGATCGCGGTCCTTCTCGCGTCGGGCTCGCCCAGCATGCTGGGAGCCGCTCCCAGCGCGGAGCGTGTCGGGAGGTGTAGTTTAGGACAAGCCCAGCATTCCTTGCAGGACGTAGCCTTTGGTCATTTAAAGGGCAGGTCCAGAAAGCGGTGATGCTCCCGGGGCAGGGTACCCCTCCGGCGGCGGCACGGGGCACCTCGGGCTGCATCCCCTCTTCGCAGAGCGTGGCACTTCCACGCCTCCACAATCTGCTCCACCTGCAGGGGAAGGCCGGTCACCACGGAGTCCTGCAGTGCCCCCCACATCCCGCACACCCTGTGCCGCGCCTCCCGCATGCCTTTCCCCAACCCTGCTGAGTGGATCTAAGCCTGGTTCCTCGCTTACGCACCGGGATCAGCGGCTCCCGCCGGTTCTGCTCTTCCAGGGCGCTCAGCTCCGCTGGGGCCAGTAAGGCCAGTCTCAGCTCTCGCACCACCGGGGCCGCTACCTCGGCCACAGGCCGCTCCAGCACCGCCTGCAGACGCCAGCCCTGAGCCCGAGCGACCGGGGCCACCTGGCCCGCCGCCCATTCAACGGGTTCCTGCGGCCCAAGCCTCCTTCAGCACCCCCACTCCACACTGCCCTTAGCCTGGCTCACCGCGCCCACGCGCGCCCAGCTCCGGGCTGCCAGGACGAGTTCAGCCTCGTCTACGCAGAGCTTGTCACTGCGCAGCAGAGGCAGCAACGCGGGCGCCGACAGCTCCAAGAAGCCGCGGGTCCGAAGCGCCTCCTGTGGGTCCGAGAATGGGTTAGGGAGGAGCGGAATGAGGTGTGTGGGCTTGGTAGTATGAAAATGGGGAGCTGTACCTGGCTATGGGCCTCTATGAAGGCTATGCAACGCTCCTGCAGTGGTCCCAGGCCAAAGGTTACGGCCACCTGGGAGCAGAATGAGGGAGATCAAGTTGGAGACTGGAGAGGCCACTGGGGACTACATGCTGGGGTCCAGCAACACCCACCTGCAGGGCCTCACAAACCAGCTCCACATCCAACACCTTCGCCACAAACTCCAGGCATAACTGGGAATAGAAATGAATGTGGATTGTGCTGAGGAGTCCTTACTCCCAGACCCAAACCCTAGCCCAGAAGCACTGAGCAGGCTTGGAGCGATGAGCCACCCAGGCTCCTAGCAGACCAAGGGAGGCAGGGACTGAGACTTAGCAAACATGGAAGGAATACGGTCTAGTAAAGCCAAGCCCAGCAGCCTACCTTCCCCACTAATCAGACTATGTAAGAACCATGCAAAAATTCTACTCTCCCTTTCACTCAGGATGCTTATCTTCTTCTACTGCCCCCCGCCTTGATTCAAAGACACTCAAAAACAGACTTCTGTTTTAACCAAAAACTTGAGTTTCATCCGTGACAGCTCCCTCTCATCCTACATCCCGAAAAACACGAGGTCATGCCAATTCCACTTATCTCAAAGTCATGAAGTGTTCCCTTGGGCTACCACTGCCACCCCATCCCTAAAGGACTGGTGAGCACCTCCCATTTCTCCCAATCTGTTCTGCACTTAGCTTCCAAATCCTCACTCCCTACCTGAAACCTCCAATGAATCTCCACTACCCTCTGGGCAAAAGAAGTCAAAAATTCTTTTTTTTTTTAAGAAGTCCAAATTCTTGCAAAGTCCTGATTGAACCAGTCCCTAGCATACCTTCCAATCTCATCTCTCCCTTATCTCCTCTCACACTCTTAGTCCAGCCACACTAAATGTTTCACCAGCTCCTTTTGTGCCTCTGTAACTAGAATGCTATCTTTCCATTCTCCCTCTGAACAAATTCCTACCCACTCTACAAGATCCAACATAAAGGTTTCCTTCTTCGGGAAGTCTTTCCCTCCTCTGGCCTTGGTGGTGAAATTAGAGACCCTCCAGACAGTCTCAGCACCATTTACCATCATCTATCACGCTTCTTATGCCAGTGGGTTAAGGGAGGTCAAGTTGGAGATTGGAGAGACCATGTAGCCCAGCCCTTCACACAGAGGAGTTTTCATGTGTCTGTCTGAAGAACAGGAATCAAGGCTGACTTATCATGGTATCTACAGCACCAGCCATAAACACCCATTGTGCCCCCACCGCATACACAGGGCGTGTACATATCCTTTGGCACACAGGCACACATACATGCCTATTTACACAGAGATATTCATACTTCTCCATTGGCATATGTTCCTCTCCAAGACAGAGTGTGTGAAGCAGGGTATGCACAGAATGCACAAGAGGCAAGAGAAACAAGATAGGCCTGCCACATAAACCCACCTTTCTCAGTTCCTCCAGCCCATACTCCACAGCTGCTGTCAGCACCTCCAGCACCTGCAAAGTGGGTGGTTGGAGTGGAAGGAAGTTTCCTCTTCCCTTCAACCCATTCCCTCTCTCACCCAGATCCCTGCCCAATGGGCTCACAGAGTGGCGATACAGCTTGACACTGTTGGTGTACAAGAACTCCAGCACTGCCAGGAAGGCCTCGGCTGGCACAGTGCTGAGCACCACAGGGCTAGGCACCCCGGGGCCTGGCTCCTGGCCCAGAAGTCGCTGGAAAAAGTTGCATCTACAGGTCAACAAGCACCGGTGGGCAAACACCTCCTGCCGTTCTTGACCAACCACAAAGCGAACATCACTGTGGAAGAGAGAAGCAGAGAGCCACGGGAGAAGAGGCCAGAGTCTAGGGTACAACTCTAGGCTTTGCCTTTGCCCACTCTGAGCCTTCGTTTCTTTATCTGTGATATTAGAGGAAGTGCTTAGTCCTTCTAGCTGAAGGTCTGGGACACAAAAGCCTGAATTCTAGTCCCAGCTCTACCCTATAGGACCTCAGGCAAGTGACTCTACGTTTAATCTCAAATTTCTCTCCCATGAGAGATGATAATCTCAAACTCGGGTCTCAGAGGAGGTGGCTATGCTTCATCACTGAGGGAGTACCAGGGCTGATGCAAGATTGATCCTACTACCCCTCTCCTCCCAGTCTGAGTCTTGGGGGAAGGGAAGCTCTTCTTGGCTCCTCCTCCACAGACTGCAAACTCAGCTTTTCTCAGCCTCCTCCAGGCAGGAGGGGGTGGGAGGATGGGGTGCAGAGTGCACCGGCTGCAAACAGACACAGCAGTGATGCACCATGAACAGACCACATTTTCCATCTTAATGATCACTTCCGGCCCCAGCCTCTGGGCCTCTGACAGCACAGCAGGTAGGAGGCAGGAGATGAAGCTTGAGCTCCGATCTTCAGTCCCGGATCTAAGGCCTGGAGTTCCCACTACTCAGACTAGACTGTGATCCCCAAAGCAGGATTATGGAAGTCGCCAACCTTTGGGGTAGAACCCAGTTCTGCGGCACTGAAACAGAAAGCTGCATTCTCCTTCTCCTGACCAGCCCTGCCCCCATACTCTATCCCTGGTTTCAGACACCACTTGCATCCTGGCCAGACAGTGAGCCCCAGGCAGCACCCTTGAACCACTTCCTGTCTGAGACTGTGGTTCAATCCCTTGAGCTTTGTTCCTCTTGTGAATCTCCAGTTCTCAGAACAGGGTCATTTGCTCCTCTGCTTCCCCAGGGAGGGACTCAAGTTACATCTCATCTCTCAGGATCCAGGGGGGCAGAGGACTCTTCTCTTCCAGGAGCCCAAGATCTAAAAAAGGAAGGCTTTTGCCTGAGGCCACACAACCACTCTGGGCTCCATCCCCCACTACCTCCACCTCTGGATCTCAAGATATCATGGACTCTGAGTGACCAGCAGCCATCCTCTACACTTGACTTCCCCAGACTGAATTCAGCAAAGGGTCAACTCTTAATCCCCCACTTCTTCTGTACCCAGGGCTTCCTCAAAGTCATAGGGTTC